TCTTGGCGGGGAGAGGGCCTGGTGGCTGCGGAAGGTTCTGGCACATCCAGGAGCCGCTGCTGCTGTCAGGTGAGCCCGTGACGGCACCTGGTCACCCAGCCCCCTGCTCCAGTCTGATGGCTTCGGGGCTGTGACGCAGCATGTCAGCTGCAGGTGACGCCTGAACCCGCCAGCTCCGGGCCAGGCCACCCGGGGGAGAGGAGACCCACCTCCTCTGAGGGAGGCGTTTCCCACTGGAACCCGGGCAGGAGGTGGGACCTGCGCCACGTCCACAGCTTCTGGGCCAGAGATGCCGGCCTTTCCTCCCTGTCCTGGCCCTGCAGCCGAGGCCAGGCCGGGCCCAGTGCCTGCCTCCTGGTGCATCCACTCAGCACCTGCTGAGCCACCCAGTCCTCCCGCTGCCCTGAAGGCGGCACCACAGGTGGGCAGGCGGCAGGGCCTGAAGCTGCTGCTGGTTGTGGGGTGGGGGGGTGTGGGGGGGAGCGCGGGGACCAGAGCAGGACCCCTGGCCCGGATGCATCCCTGCTGTCCCTGCTCTGCTCCTGCGCGATGTCCCTGGACCCTTGGACTCTGGTCCTCACTTCCCGCTTCAGAGGGTCCATCTCTCGCAGCTGAATGCCCTTCTTTATGATGATCCCTCCGTGGGCGAGGCGGGCGCTGGGGGGAGGAAGGACTGGCACCAACCAGGGAGCTACTTGGTTCTTTCGAAGTAACCGCCCATAGTTTTTGTTTCTGTTTTTTTAAAATATATTTTTATTAATTTCAGAGAGGAAGGGAGAGGGGGAGAGAGAGAGATAGAAGCATCCATGATGAGAGAGAATCACTGATTGGCCGCCTCCTGCACGCCCCACACACCGGTGACTGAGCCCGCAACCCGGGCAGGTGCCCCGACTGGGAACTGAACCGTGACCTCCTGGTTCATAGGTCGACCGCAACCACCGAGCCACGCTGGCCGGGCACCGTATCATTTTAGCAGGTAATTGTTTGTTAGTCACAGTTGGCTCCCTTTGCTCTCTAACTAGACTGAGCGTGCCCTGAGGTCAAGCACCGTGCCCCATAGGCACGCCCTCACAGGCCAGGGATCGTAGCAGACCTGTTTGCCAACCATTATATGTGTATTTTTAAGTTAAATAGCAAAGAAAGTGGGTACAGGACCAGGAGCCAGTCTAGTCTATGTGCTTCCATGAATGCAGCTTTCATGGGCGCCCGCAGCCGCCCTGTCAGCAGCTGGTTTATGTGAATCCATCGGGCGGGGCGGGGGCGAGGCTTGCACTTGGAGAGTTGGAGAAACTGGGAGGGTTCAAGCTTTCGGAAACCACCCTGTAAGGTGACCGGGGGAGGGGGGCAGGCGGCGGAGGGAGAATCCCAGAGCCTAGTGACGGGGAGGGAAACACCAACAGGGGAACATCCCGGTCTGTCCCCGGGCGCGCCGGGCCTGGGAGCGGGTGGCTGCTGGAAGATTGCAAAGTGAATTTTCCTCCCTTTCAGGGAACTTGAAAAACAATGACCGCACAATCGTTTTTAAAGACAAGAGTTGAACAAAAGCAACATGTTTTCCTGAGGAACAAGGTATGTTTTTGCCTTTGCCAGGTGGACCCCGAAGTCGTGCCGGTATTGCATCTGCTGTCCACACGCAGACCCGGTTAATCGTTAATGCGCCCACGGTCTGGCTCGGGTTCCTGGAGCGCCCGAGGTTCCAGGTTGGCGTGTGTCCGGCGGAGACCAGGAAACGGGTCCAGGGCAGCTCTGCCAAGTCCGGCCTCAGCACCTACCGGGCGGCCAGCGTGGGGTCACAGGTGTGAGCGTGCGAGACGCGGAGTTTATTCTCGTGTTATTATTGATTAGTTACTATTTTCCGTACGAACATCAGAGTGCCCCGCCCATGAGCACAGGCCATGCCCATGTTCTCGTCCCAGGGCAGAGCCTGGCAGCGCGAAAGCTGAAAGCCGTGGAGATGTTTAGATGGGGGAGGTGCTGAGTTGGAGGGTGACGGAACCTCCAGCCAGAGTTCGAAGCTGGGACCTGAGCAGGGGCCTCCAGTGCAGCAGGGAGGAGGC